GCAAGCCTGTTACAGGAATCTCACAGTCCTGTAACAGAGCAGACAACACAGTAAGTACACCTCTGAGGGACAAGACACTCCTGGAGCCTCAGCAAAACTGGGGTACCCAACCTCCTGTCCCAGACAGACGGCACTGACGCAGGGGTAGCCACACTGAGGTCTGGAACAGCGCCCCTACCTTGCAGCTCATGCAGAGCATGGCTTCAGAAAGGGAGTACGACTGGGGTGTTTTGGTCCTGGTGGATTCTCCTCTTTCCCCCTGAGCTGGCAGGTGCTGCTCATGACAGTAGGCACAAAGCTATGTGCTCCTTCAGTCAGTGTGATGAGTTTGCCGTGGTTGGGCCACTGAGGCAACCCTGTACTCACTAGCCTCTGGCTGCTGATAAGAGCCCTTATCTAGTTCCACAACTTGAATGTGAGGCTCTCCCAGTGGCCCTCCATGTGTTCCTGCTTCTCCTGACAGGTCTGTATCTCACACTGCAGAAGCATCATGCTGCCTTTTCTCTTCTGCATTGCCCTCCCACCTACCCAGAGCAAGTCACCCCTGGCAGAGGAGGTTCCATGGTCAGGGAGCTGCAGCAAACCCAGGGATGCAGAGCGCTCATGCAGGAAGGCCTCTGGTAACGACAAGTGCTCCAGGTAAGTTCCTTCCCCCAGCAGTTATACCTGTTCTCCTAACACATAGTGTGGTAGCCTCTCAGGTGCATGACCAGATGTTCTAACTTACTCCCGCCAGATGTGTGCCCATGTCCTTCAGCATATGATGCAATCCAATACAGAGCAGCTTCTACCCAGAGACTAGCAGAAATCAGATCTCCATTGTTTTGGTGCCAGGTAGAAGAAGCAAGGATCATTCCCTCCATTTTTGTTGAAAAGGAATCAGGACAAGAGGTAATCCAGCACGCTACGGCCCACACCAGAACTAAAACCTCAGATGCACCTCATGGCACTGAGTCCCATGTTTTAAACTACCATCTCCCCACCGTTGACAGCAATTCCCAGGACTTCACTAGAAACCCCACATTAGACAGATGCCAGGCAGCACCAGCTTCAGAGAAGCAGCGATACAACACCCTTGTCAAGGCTCAGCCACACAGAAAGGAGAAACTTAGAGTTTGGACAAATTGACCCCTGCTGTTGACGCTAAACAAGTGTCAAAGGCACAGGCACACAGACCAGCACAAGAGTGAAGTAGGTTATTACAATAACTAGCTCTTGATGCAGTTTCACTGGAGAGACTGCTGCCTGCTTGCTGGAAAGAGCAGTGCGAAAACACAGGTAGCGACCCCACAGAGCCTCACCGAGGAGCCTTGGTCTCCAGCTGCATGAGCTGCAGGCATCAGACCTACGATCCCATCACAAATGATGGAGGCAGGGAGGGTCAGAGCATACTTATGAAGTTCGGCCCAGGTGATGAGACAGGATCATGGCTTGGCTTAAAACTTACAGCAGCTCCTTGTCTCCAGGTCACTGAATGTGGTAGCAGCTCCGCAAAAGCTGATTGCAGGAAATACTGGTGTCTAGGGGGCAACAGAGACAACTTCCCAAAGTAGTGAGTGGAAAGTGAGTGGAAAGACATGAAAGTTCTGAAGAGCTGTAGGCTACGTGAAGTCCTGTGCCTATGGGCACACGGTAGCTGCCCAGGAGCCTGCTGACAGCGAAGAGTACACGTCACAGCAAGACTAATTTGGGAAGAAAGGATCTTGATTCAGAGCCTTATGGAAGGGGAATGGCTTAAAGACTTGACAGGACAGATTGCAGAACGTGGTGGAAGAGAAGGATGTCACAACTGTGAAGGATAGCTTGGGATAAGAAAAGGGACTAAGGCTGCTGGAGAAACAGAGGCTAGGAGTTCTCTGGCTTGGTGGAGGCTTGAGGACAAAGGCAAGAACCTGTGTTTTCCAGAGTGGCATGAGAGAAAGGGCAGTGACAGCCCCCAAGTGCTGCTGGAGGAGTGAGTGGAAAAGAAAGTGAGCACATGAAAGAGTCTGGGGGAGCCAGTGGCTGAGGGGAAGTCCCCAGCATCCAAACCACAGCTGGAACATCCAGGGACAGCCGAGACACTGAGAAACATCCTCTGAGAACCAAGCAAAGCATGAGCCAGGTGTTTCAGGGAGCTAGGGGCTTCCCCAGGGCAGAGGGCTGCTCAGCCCCTAGGAGTGACACACTTCATAGCCTTTGTGGAAAATTCCATTCCTACTTAATCTCTTGGGGCTCCTGTAAGATTGTGAAACGGAGAAAGGGACCAAACAGGAAGGAATTAGAGGTAAAATGCCTCTCTTCCGACAGCCACCGTGGCTGTGCCAGGAGTTAGCAGCAGGAACTGTGGGGCAGCCAGCCCTGCCTCCCCCTCCTCCAGCCACCTCTATAAACATGCAGGGCTTACTCAGAAGATTAGAAAGGAACAGGGAAAAAGACAACAGAGTCTCTTTTGTAATGAGGAAGGATTATGGCATCAAGTGACCGGCTGCAGTTTCCCAAGTGGTTTTCAGGCGCCTTAGCGCACCGTGTCTGTCAGGTTCAATCCCCCCATGAGCCAAGGGGGCATAGGGAGGCGGGCCATGGCATGGGCCACAAAGGACCCAGCAAGGACACATGTGGTACCAAACTTCCACAGCCTCCAGTGCAGCTCGGGAGCCCATGACTGTAAGTACTGAGTCCTCCAACAGCAGGTGAATTCCTTCAAAGACCTGCCTTCCTGCCTATTCTGCCCGGATCTCCTCTCGCTCCATCTGTGCACTCTGCTTGTTCTCCATCTTTGCAATAGCTGCTCGTGTAGTTTGCTAACTTATGTGGCAGGTAATACACCTGATTCTGGCTTGCTGTTGCAGGATCTTGGTTGCTGTGGACTCCCACAGCCTGGTTGGTGTCAATCGACCTCCAGGTGCAATGGTTGGTCCGGACGGATCAGGCAGGTGGATGTGGGCAGTGGCAAGCAGCAGCTCCCTGGGGAGCAGGCTGTGTGGGCGCTGCACAGGGCATGGCTCTTCCATCCCATACTGCCTCCGGTGTGCCAGTGCTGGGGCTGCCGTGAGTCACCTCCTGGCACGTACCTCAACTCCAAATGGTTGGGGGGCATCTGTGCCAGCTGCCGAGCGACATCCCAGGGCTGTCCTGCGCAGGCTGGCAGGTGGGCAGGGGAGTGCCTTAACCATTCAGGGCTGGAGGGAAAAGCCCCATGTCCTGTGCTGAAGCAGAACTGCATGGAGGTGGGTGACATCCATTATTTACAGGGACCAGAGCTGAAAGTTTCCATGTTTGTTAAAAAGTGAATCTGTATTTGAATTATGCAACAAAGCGTCTCCCTGAGTACTTTCAAGACCCGAAGCATAGCTTCTGTAAACAGCCAGCTTTCTGTAAGCAGCCCCCAGTAAATTTATGAGTGTTTGCATACATTTCTTGTGTGTATAGACCATGTGTGTGCGGTCTCTAGGGCGGTTAAAAAACAGCTTCCTGTGCACTGGCCAGAAATACACATGGAAACAGCATGAATGTCCATGAGGCTGTAGTAAAAGGTACATTTGTGCAGCTGCAGAGCCCTTGGCAAGGCAGGTGCCAGCTCTGCTCCTCCAATATAACTTGTGAGAGGGGACTCGGGGAGAGTTATGACAAGGAAACCCAAAGGAGGAGCGGCACCAAAAAGCCAAAGCCAGGACAAAGTTGCTGTTTGGTTGAATCAACAAAACAGACTTTTCTGTTTTTCTTCACAGCACCAGCAGGCTGGGACCTGAGTTGTCCCTACAGAACTGTAGCTCTTTCAATGAGAGGCTTAAATGAGGAGCATGGACACAGACTTACCTGCCTTTAGCTGCTGCTACGGAGCAGGAAGGTCTGAATTCGTCCCTTTAAGTGCTTCTTTGCCTCCATTATTCAGGGAAGAACTGAGGGCCCATAACTATTAAGATTATTGTCTCTGTTAGATAGCAATGTCTGTGTAACATCCTGCTAACATGTTAAGATTTAGAAATACCAACAGTTTCACACCGGATAATTATTTATGAACCAAGAGTTCATTCACCTATCTGTTTGGCATGGATTACGCTGGTTTGTTTGTTTTGGGTTTTTTTTTACTAATTCAGGTTTACATGAATGTGAGTCTGATTATTAATTGATGATAAAGGATTATTTATCCAGGATTAAACTACAGGAAGTGTAGTGGGGATGACGCATGAATGGGAAGCATTTTGTAAGCCTGAATGCCTTTTTTTACCCAGCGTGATTTATTGTGCAACGTATGGTTGAAGTAGAGGGGAGGTGGAGTTGCTGGAATTTATGCTCTGTGAGCCTGGCCAAACTCCACCCCTCAGTTCTTTAACAGGGAGGGCTGTTCTGCCTGTGAAACTAGGACCAGCATAGTCCAGATACGGCCCTCAGCTCAAATTTAGACAGCTATACTTGTGCAAGTGCTACAAAAACTGTCAAATCTCCAGGGGTAGCTTCATCTGGAGTACCAATAAATCTCTCATTTCTGGGATTTTTACTTTCCTTTGTATTTTTTTTCCCATCAGTATTCCAGGAGACACTTCCCAACAAGTACATTTAAAGAAACAACATATTTGAAGCAAGTAGTACAAGGAAAAAAAAAAAAAAAAGAACAGTAAGCAACTTTGGAGTTCATGCCTCTGAGAATTAATCTTAAACAACTGTTTTGTGGGAGGGAGTGGCACGTAAGCGTGGGTACCACAACAGTGGGCTCTGTCTACTCTGCCCAGTCAGCCCCACTTGAATGCTAACAATCAAACACTACAAACCAAGGGCTCCACCAGAAAGTGTATTCTCCATCATTGTAACCAGCTCAAAGACAGTAAAAAGATAGCCAGTTCATCAAATTAACTGCCTACCAAAAATTTCCTTCTGGTTCTTTGTCACTGACTTCATCTTGCCTTGCCTTGCCTTGCCTTGCCTTCCCCTGTCCCTGTCCCTGTCCCTGTCTCCTTCATCTGTGCAAGCTTGTTGGCAGTTTCAAATCTACTCATTTTGTGTCTCCACAAAGATCTGTGATGACAGTGACATACACCAACCGTGTGGCTGATGCCCGCCTAGGCACCTTCTCACAGCTCCTGCTCCAATGGAAAGGAAGTATCTACAAACTTCTCTACTCCGAGTTCCTTATTTTCATCTCTCTGTACTTCACCATCAGTCTTGTCTACAGGTAAGCATCCTTACAGCCCGACACTAACACAGCCCCTCACTCTCAGCTGTCCTGGAGCAGGACAACTGAGCAACACAGGACTGGGACAGTGATCCTACTGAAGAGGAATTGGCCAGCCACTCACCAGCCTCTGATCGCAGGAGGAAAAGAAAGGTCCTTCCTTACTGCTCCAATATGGCTTAGCAGCTGATAGATCTCCTTTTTTCTGTCCTGGGAAGTAACACGGTTTCTCCTCCCTGGGATGAAGAGTTGCCTTGGCTGATCACCTACAGAAGAATAATGTGTAGATTAGTGGAGACCAAGACCAAACTAGCACTGGAGATGTCCCACAGCGGGGAGCTTTAGGAGGGAATTTCCCGTGTTACACAACAGGTGATCCCTTGGGTGTATTTTTGAGAGCAGACATCAGCTCTGGGGCCACAGATCTGCAATAAAGCAACTGTACTCTGTGGCTGGCCTGGCTTTGGTGAGGAAAGACAGGGAGCTCCGCTAGCTGGTTTGATTGCAGACGCAGCAGGCTGGCAGGGAAGCAGCTCTAAGAAAGAGGCAGGAACTCATGTAAGAGCAGAGCCTGGGCTGATATTTTGCAGGATATTAAGTGAACCGTGGTGCACATCAAAGTTCTGTGTCAAACCCTTGATACCACACAGCGCACACCCGAGTGACAAACATACAGGTGGTCCCTGACACCACACTCCATCACTTATCACATACTCTCTGCCAGTGACCACTTCTGGCTCCTTCAGACTGATCCACGGAGTATTTCGTGGAGGTGGGCTGATGTCTTAGGCTCATGAGGACTGTTCACTCACATCGTCCCCAGACTCACAGCGTGTCAGTGTCTTGACTACCCATCCTTGCCTTCCCTGGCCAGGCTCCTGTCCCAGCAGGCCCAACAAGGCACAGACTCTTCTTTGAGGCTGACGCTTCTGTTTCTCCCTTTTAGGCTGATCCTGAGTGAGAGCCAAAGGTTGATGTTTGAGAAGCTGGCACTCTACTGCAACAGCTATGCTGAGCTAATCCCTGTGTCCTTTGTGCTGGGTAAGGAGCTCTGTCTGGGAACACACAGGGAGGGGAAAGGGGCAGCATGTCTTCTGTCTGGTTTGATACAGCTCTGCAGGCAGGCAGGGTTTGCTGATCAGACCTCTCCCATTGCCTTTGTAAAACTCAAGCAGAATACACCATTCCATGTTGCAGCTGTGAGCTATGACCCTTGTACACACCTTGCACTGTCCAGATGTACTAGCATGTCCTGGGTTCTGCCAGGAGGGCAGGGACCAAGTAACACCGAATAAACCATGAAACCCAGACTCTAACTTTAGGATGGAGATGTGTCCTCCAGGCATGCCTGCATCCCCGTATGAGCAGTACCAGCCTTCCTACACAGTAACATTTACATCTCCCACTCCTTTAGGATTGCTAATTTGCTCAGCTCATCTCTAGGTTTCTACGTGGCTCTGGTGGTGTCCCGCTGGTGGGCTCAGTACGAGAGCATCCCATGGCCCGACCGCATCATGAACTTGGTCTCCTGCAATGTGGATGGGGAGGACGAGTATGGGCGGCTCCTGCGTCGCACCCTCATGCGCTACAGCAACCTGTGCAGTGTGCTGATCTTGCGCTCAGTCAGCACGGCTGTCTACAAGCGCTTCCCCAGCATGGAGCATGTCGTGAGGGCAGGTCAGTACCCGTGCTACCTTCTGCACTGAGCAGAGAGCAGCACTTTGTTGCTGTTGTAGGGCAATAGCACTGTAAATGGCTATGTGACCTCCAGACTGGAGATGGGATAATGCTGCAATGTGCTTAGTTGGTGTCTGCAGCAAGTGCTAAGCACCTGCTCATGCCCTAGCTCTGCTCTTTTGTGATAACCATTTGTTTTCCTATTGCACAGCATGATTGTTCCTACTAGTGGCTGGAAGGCTTGCTTGAAGTGTCTCTGCTCAAATTCTCTACGGAAGAGTGTTGAGATCTGGTTTGTGAATGCAGATATGCTGCAGGTCACAGGGCAGCCCTGGCTGATCACAGTAGGGTAACTGTGGTGCAGTGACTTTACTGGGACGTGCTCACCCTGCACTGAAAGCGTACATGGGAACAGAAGAGCTCTCTGTAGGAAATGACCCTGCCCACACAACTGTGGCAGAGCGTGAGCATGAGCAGTGGTATGTTTGTCCTCCCGCAGGGCAACAGTTTTCCACTGGGCAGGTGGGAATTGGAGCCTCAAACCTCTGATCGTAGCTGCTGGGCTCCCTGAATCCTCTCTGAAGATGCTCCTCGGTGTACAACGTTTCCCAGTCTGCCCAAAAGGGGATGTCTGCACCTAGCCTAGTCAGCTGGGCTCCCTTTGCAATCCAGAGAGAGAAACAGGCACTTCGAGGACACGAGATATCCTATTCTCAATAAATGTCCAAGTACAGCAGGCAATTACACCCTCAGCAGTACTTATCTCTCTGCTGATTGTGATCTGGTCAGATATGCTGTAGACATCCAAGGTGAAGTGAGATAAAACCTGCCTCTCACACTCCCGTAACTCAATGTTTTCACAAGACGACTTGTCCTCCATGTGTCTCCTAAAAGCTCAGGGCCTGAGTTTTTCGTGTGATTTTTAAGGAAAGCTAAGGTGACCACCTGAGATGTAGATGTTTTCATTTCAGACCAAATCAATTCCTTTCTGCCCTCTGTGGCGATCCTTTTTTCCCACCCAGGCCTCATGACACCAGAAGAGCACAAGAAGTTTGAGAGCTTGAATTCCCCCCACAACAAGTTTTGGATCCCATGTGTGTGGTTCTCCAATCTGGCTGTGAAGGCACGGAACGAGGGCAGGATCCGGGACAGCGTGCTGCTCCAAGGCATCCTGAATGTGAGTGACAGAGGCAACTGTTTGAGACCCTCATCCAGTCCTCTAGATGGAACTACAGAGATTTTCAGAGTCAGGTCAGGAATAGGAATGGTGAGGTAGGACACTGAGCCAAGCCTATCCCTGGGGATATTACATTAACTGTGATGGGAGATGCTCCCACTGCCACCCTACAGCTTGTGACAGAACAAGAGCTTTTCACGGCCTGCTGACATGGTAGCAGTGTCACAGAATCACTAAGGTTGGAGAAGACGGGTAAGATCATCCAGTCCAACCATCAGCCCAGCACTCCCATACCCACTACACCATGTCCTCAAGCTCCATGTCTACACATTCCTTGAACACCTCCAGGGGTGCTGACTCCACCACTTCCCTGCGCAGCCTGGTCCAACGCCTGAGCACTTTCAGTAAAGAAGTTTTTCCTAATATCTAATCTAAACCTCCCCAGGTGCAACTTGAGGCCGTTTCCTCTTGTCCTATCACCAGTTACCCGGGAAAACAGACCAGCACCCACCCCGCTATAACCTCCTTTCAGGGGGCTGTAGAGAGTGATCAGGTCTCCCCTCAGCCTCCTCTTCTTCAGGCTAAACAACGCCAGCTTCCTCCATCAGACTTGTTCTCCAGGCCCTAAGCCTATACAGTACCTGGTATTCCCAGATGGTCTCCCATCCAAGTACTAACTGGGCCTAACCCTGCTTAGCTTCCAAGAAGAGACAAGATCAGGCATTCTGAGAGTGGTACGGCTGTATGTTAGAGGCGGGGGGAATGTGGTATCTTTCTCAAATGTGGGACTAGGAGGAACCATGGGACACATCTAGGTGTGATAATAGCAGACACCCACGTAGCAGGTGGGTGTTTTCATTGATCAGCCTTCCTCCAGCCTTCACACACTCCAGAACAGCCAGTGACGGTGGCTACAGGAGGTCGCTAGGATACAGATGGAAAGCTGCAAGGAAACAGGTATGTAGAAGAGACCAGGGTAGGTCAAAATGCCATCCAGAGGGACCTGGA